TCTTCAGCCCCGAGTGTGTAGCAAAGTCATCAAACACTGCCATTGTTCCTTGTATTGATTTCTTATCCCCTTTCACAAAAACCATAAGATCATTAGCGAAGCACAAATGTGTTAAACTGAGTTGCTTACAGTTCGGATGAAGAGAAATTTTTTTGTCGCTGGCAGCTTTATCTATCTTTTTAGACAGAACATTCATGCAGATGACAAAGAGATACGGGCTTAGAGAGCAGCCTTGGCGAAGCCCTCTTTCGCTTCCAAAATATCCTGCTAGCTCTCCATTGACTTGCACAGAGAAAGAAGCAGTGGTAATGCAAATCTTGATCCAGTGTATAAACGTCTCAGGGAAGTGAAGAGCTCGTAGTGTGTTGAGCAAAAAACTCCACTGGACAGAGTCGAAAGCTTTCGATATGTCAATTTTCATTGCACAGCGAGGTGAAACTGAATCTTTATGATAATCCTTGATGATTTCCGTAGCAAGTAGGAGGTTTTCCATTAGTAATCTGTCCTTTATGAATGCAGACTGATTTGCAGAGATGAACCGGGGGAGTAAAGTTTTGAGCCGATTTGCGAGAATTTTGGAGATGACTTTGTAGAGAACATTGCAACATGATATTGGTCTATAATCCTTCATAACTTTAGCTTCTTTCTTTTTGGGAATCAGAGCGAGAATAGTCGAGTTAACTCCTTTAGGTAGAAATCCTGTCTTGAAGAAAGACTGGATGGCTACGACAAAATCACTGCCCACTACCGACCAAGTTTCCTTGAAAAATTCACATGTAAACCCATCTGGACCCGGAGATTTATTTACCGGCATTGAGAAGAGAGTTTTCCTAACTTCTTCCTCTGTGACCTCCTTTGTTAGCATTAGTTTATCAGCCTCATCACACTGAAATTTTAGCAGTCCTTCCAACTCTTCCGGCGACCATTCCTCATAGTCCGCAGGCTTAATTGTTAGGAAATCCTTGAAGTGCCTCTCTGCCTCTGCTTTGATTTAGTCCTGGCCAGACACTATTGTTCCATCTTCACATTGTATCTCTTTGATGTTGTTACGGTTCTCCCTGATCTTTACTGAATTGTAATAAGCTTTGTTGTTTTGGTCCCCTATTTTCATCCAATGCAACTTTGCTCTCTGATGTAAACATTAATAAATATAAGCAAATATCATTGATATTGAAAAATATAGAATAATCATACATTAGTTCATTTCCAGAAATAACTTTAATTTAAACCAACCAAAATATATAATACTTATATAATGGCATTACTCGAGAATAGTACTCTCACTACAGGCATTTCAGTTATCCTCATGAGCGGTTTTATTAATCCTTTTCGCTATTAGGAGTGTCACAAATAAATCCAAAAATTTGGTGTATCCGCATGACTTATATAGTTCTTGCTGGGTAATGAGTGTAACACCCTGACCGTCCCTGGGCTCCACGTCCATTCTTGGTCCCATGGATCCACCCCTGTCCGACGGTCGGTTCGCTACGTCTGGGAGACTTTAAAGACTTCTTTACCGACCCTACAAATCACTACATGATCTTTCCCTGTGTTTTATCCTCACTCACACAGTTCCGACAATCACTTTCCGGAAGGTCACCCATCCTGAAATTGCTCGATCCAGTTCAAGCATCCTTAACTGTGGAGTTCTCTGAGGACAGTTGATCGAAAAGATAAGTGCACTTTGGTGACATAGGTGGACAAATCAATTCTTTTAAACCTCTCTGCATGCACCACCATATTCCTGAAACTAGGGTGTTACAATGAGGTTTTCATGAAACGTGGTAGATGTTTTCTCAAGCATTTGAGAATCGGTGATAATATCACCATAATATTTTAGTTTAACCACAACTTCCATCATAGCAGAATTATAATCCATCAATGTATCAAAGTCTTTGAACTTTAGACTTTGTCATTCATCCCGAACAAGTGGGAGATTTATGGCTTTTCGATTATCAAATCGAACTTTTAGGGATTCCCAGATCTCTTTGGGATCTTTTTTGTGTGTATAATCACATATGATATTTTCATTAAGGTGTCGTAAAATAAAGACCACCGATTTTTCTCTTTCTTGAACCGTCGAGGTATTATTCTCTTTTATGGTTTTCATTAATCCAAGAGATGTAAATGTATTTCGACGTAAGCAATCCAAGATATATAATTAGCCAAAGTGATGTATAGAGCTGGACACATAAGTTTCTCAATGCTTGCCATTAGTTATCTAAACACAAAATTGAATAGATAGTATTAGTAAAATATAATTATTATTTCATATTGAACCATTTATATTAATAATGCAAGCGATTACAAAGAACATAATTGCATAGAAAAATAAAGCGATACTTATGGTGAATACTTCGCGAGAAAATTCTCCAATGAAAAGATCATAAGTACATGTAAAAATTGCGATTAAGCAAAAAATTAAAAACAAGCGAATCATAACTTAAATAAATTTCTTAGAAAAATATATGAGGAGAGATATGATTTTTGAGTGAATGAATGAGTGAAAATGAGTGTATTTATATATTGAAAATTACTGTTCATAGCCGTTTGAAAAGTGATAAATTTTTGAATTTTTTTTTTCATGACCGTTAGTGAAAAGATTTAAATAGAAAATCAATCTTTAAATTTCATAGCCAATCAATTAAATTTACTAAATTGAGATAATAAGTTTTTATATAGGTGGCTGAGCCTCTTTATATATTAATCAAAATATAAATATAACATAAATAAATTTTAACAGTAATATTGTGGTGACAGAGTCATTCAGTTTATAACAGTAAATAAATTATGGTAACGGAGTCATCCATATTATAGGTGGCTTGGTGTATAAAACATTCATTATAATGATTATTTATAGCGGTGACATTCCTTTCACTATACTAACGAGTAAATAACGGTGTCTGAACAACTAGTAGAAAATAATAATATATATATATATATATTTTCTTTTGTTTATTATATAATTTTTTTCTTTTCTTTTATGCTCTCTTCCTTTTTTCTCTTTTTTTTTTCTTTAACGAAGCGATTTACTACCCGGTATAATACCGTATTTGTCAGTGAACATAGAGTCATCGTACTGATAACGTGTTATAAATAATTACCTTGATTTTATGGTGTCTATAATATAAATAATAGATAAAGAATTTATACCTGCAGAAGGATCGAGAATACTGAAAAGAGATGAGAAAGATAAATTATTATTTTTTATAATTGAAATAATGAATTGTGATTTACAAATGATCGATAAATCAATCGTTTATATAAAAATAAAATAAAAAGTAAATTACTGTGCGGATATAGTAAGTGTGCCACACATATTATTTCATCCATGTTTTTGCGTTCCGCATCTTTAGACATTTACAATATCCACAATATAGTCAAACTTTGTCCGATCTTGTCATGAATATTTGTGGTGATTATCCAATTTTTTTGAGAAAAAGCACAATTTATTTTGATATTTTCTCCGTGTCATAGCTAAGAATATACATAACTGTATATGTGCCTTCTATACATAATCGAGCAAAATACAATAACAATGACTTCTCAGAAAAGAAATAGGGTAATTTCCAGTTTTTCACTCATGATTCATTGTCGTAAAATATTTTTTTTGTTGAGTTATAAATTTTATTTTAATAAAAAGATTATGTAATATCAAAATAATTTTTATTGACTCTATTTTAATCACTAAATTTTGTTGACTCAGCCAAACTAGTCTTGTTGTTAAGTAAGTTCACGGAACATTTTTTTTTGTTTACAATTTATGTTCTCCCACGACGCATCTAATTGAACCACCCTCAACCAATATTAAAGAAAGCGCTAGGCGGTAAGTGGGCAGTAGCCCAACACCTAGTGCTTACAATGTTTAATCATGGTCTATTGGATTTTAGACAATTTACACAAGTATAACATAAAATATTTTATATATATATATATATATGATATTATAGATAAAATTATACAAAATAATATATTAAAAAAAAAATTAAATCGTAAAAAATTAGACAAAAATATTTTTTAATTTATATCAAATAACACATAAACATTTATAATCATGTATATGAATGTCAAACTTATAGATCTAAATCCACATAGTTGGAAAATGAAAAATAGCATTAAAACAAATTTATATGATTATATTTTAGACAGTTAAAGAAGTTATCTAAATTTTATGTGCACGTCTTTGACTAAATAGTTCTTGTAGATCTTTGCAAATAAAATAGGCCTTTTGGCAAAAATTTATAGATGTATAGTAATTTACTAAATGTAGTAGATACTTCCTCTCTCTTTCGTCCCCCCAAAAAAAAAGCTCGTCCTCCTTTAGTCCCTCTCAACCGACTTTTTTCTTATATATTTGATCGAGGCATTAATGTAAGTTCTTGGTGTCACTGTAAGAAAAGTGAAGGTCCACTGATTTAAGGGATTTCTGGGTATGAAGAATTCAAAATCATCTTAACATCTTGTGAGAGAATCAGCAAAATATCGTATCCATCTGGTCACCTCCGAGTAATGAAAAGAATATACTCCCTCCGTTTCATAATATAAGTCGTTTTAGTTTTAAGCACGCAAATTAAAAAGATCTGCTTTTAAAAAGTTCACCCAATCGTAAAAGTACATAATATAAATAGTTATAAAATTTTAAAATAATATATAATTTGCATAGAGATTTAAAAACGACTTATATTGTGGAACAAAAATTTTTCTCCAAAACGACTTATATTATGAAACGGAGGGAGTATGTTTTATCTTCACCTATATGAAAGAGACAGTGAGACTTGCAGATTTGATTTAGTGAACTGCAAATAAATTCTTATACTAAGATTCTCCATGGAATTTTCGTATGTTTTATGAACTTTGTAAGTATTGGTGTATGCAAAACCTCGATAGTCTCTAGGTTTTTAGTAGTATCTTCTTAAAAAAAGTCCCTAGCCAGTTTACCATCCAACCCGAAGAATATGAATCAAGAAACCTACAAACCATTTTATAATGCAAACAGCGCAGATTATAATTCACACTGAGAGACAATATATTAATATTATGAAACATTATTCCACACATTTCTGAAGGAACTGCATTACAAAGTCACCATGGTTTATTTATAGGCATACACATAATACATAAGTGTATATATAGATGCAATCATGCATGGTGGTGATTGGTGAATATATGATATAGTTTTAAACACCCGGCTGAGTCTGAACAGGTTCGTCGTTAAGCCCGTGGCCTCCTCCTCCGTGGTGTCCTCCACCTCCGTAGTGTCCGTGGCCTCCTCCTCCTCCGTAGTGTCCGTGGCCTCCTCCTCCTCCTCCGTAGTGTCCGTGGCCTCCTCCTCCTCCGTAGTGTCCTCCTCCTCCGTAGTGTCCACCTCCGTATCCGTCAAGTCCGTGGCCCCCTCCTCCGTGGTGTCCTCCATGTCCGTGGCCTCCTCCGTGACCACCATGTCCTCCGTGGCCACCACCATGTCCTTCAGGTTGCACAGTTTCCTCACTCTCTGGCTTCACCATGCCTGCCCAAAACAAAACACGTTATTTAATTTCAAATACATTTTTAAGAACATCAAATATGAATTCCTCTTCCTGATTTCAATTTTGTTTCCCAGCTTAAATTATTTTCTTAAATAGGTACATAAACTCGAAACTTTAGTTTTTATATATACGTTCGAAACACAATTTACACAAAACTTACTAGGGCTTCCACATCACTTAGGTGAAGTATGCTCTGATAAATAGTTGGATAATTTATCAAATGGTACGTTAGTTAAAAAAATTTTTTTTTTTTTTTTTACGTTAGTTAAAGTTTGATATGCCTCACGAACATATATCTTGTTTATTTTAAGACTGAAATGTATTAAATAAGTTTAGGTACCCGACTGCCTTGCGGCAGACACTTCGGAGACGACGATAAGAACTGCGAAGAGCCCTAACAGAATCAAAGCCTTGGAAGCCATTTTTTTTCAAGTTCTAATAACTCTCTTAGTATGTTAATTAATTAAGTGATGAGTAGAATGTTACGCTGCATGCCCTCTATTTATAGAAATTGAAGAGGATAGGGAATGAGAAAAGTCAAAAAATTACTCCGTAGTAGAATAAAAAGAAGGCAATTAATATTTTATCAAAACTAAAGTTAAAGGAAATTAAAAAAAAAAAAAAAAAAAAAAAAAAAAAAAAAAAAAAAGAAAAAAGTTAAAGGAAATTTATCATAATAGAAACAAAGTAGTAAGAAGATAAGTATCAGAGTTTTATTATACGTGTTGCGTCGGGCCCCTTATGGTCCGTTGTTGGATTCATTGTAACTAAAATATGAATCAACGTAGATGGAAACTACACTAGTTTTTTAATATTTCTATAAACACAGCGCATTCATAAACTTCTAGATATTTAGAATTCCTTTACTGAAACATTATTATCATATCAGATTGTTATGTATTTAGATTGTTATGTAAATATGTTGTTATTATTATTTGGACAGAAAAGTCGTCCACTATTGATACTTGTTAAGAATCCTTCTTCTATTCTCTGCCGACAGAGGGATAAAGACAAAACTATACACTGAACAAGAGTAAGTAGCATAAGGGGTGCAAACGTGTTGCTTGGCTATCGTGAATACGAATATTCTTGCCTGAAAAAATTGCTTGGCTATAATATTATCCAAGTCACTGGGTGTAGTCATGTATCTACCACAGTACCACAGTACCACTTGCTACTTGCATTTGACTCAATAGTGATTTTCTTAGCACTTTTTTGGGGCTAATTTGTTACATCATTGTTTATTCTATCTATGTATAGAAATTACTTTGTGAGATTAAGACAAGCGACTTGTGATTTTAAAAAAAACAAACAAACTGGTAATGGTAACACTATACATATACCGATATAGGAGTTCGAGTTCTACTCGCCACTACTATTCACATAGCTGATTGCATGATATTGAGACTAGAGGGACTAGGGTCCAAATGGGTATGACCTCGTAAAGTGATTAGCGGACCAAGTCCAAGAGAGAGCATGCAATTTAAAATTACAAGAAAATACTAAAATAGTGATGATAAAGTATCACCCATGAAGTGAAGCGATCTAGTGATGATAAGAAAATACTAAAATAGTGATGATAAGTTTCACTTTCACGGCCCAAAGGCCTTTTCCCGCATTTTCAGACGTGGCCAAGAAACCTTGCTTTTTTTCTTTGACACAGTCAATTTTTGTTATATCCTTTTCATGCTTATTGTAAATATTAGGTATGATTGGTAACCAAAAGCTGTACAAATTTTTTAGCTGTTAGCTGGAGCTGTAAGCTTTACCGAAATAGTGCTAAGCTGTATAAAAGAATTGAACGAGAAAGCTGTACAAAAAAGGTAAGAGTAAAACTTTTAGTAACGTTTTTGATAAAGTTTTTGTGATCGGTAAAAATAAAAACTGTACAACTTGTAATACTTTATTTTTGTTCACCAATCAAACTCATTATCTAGAAGGTTAGGTGGGATAACAAAATTTTGGAGAAAGATTTTTCCATGCATATATTATTAATTTATGAGAAGGACGAAAAGAAAAAAAAAATGTTATGCATATAAGTGGATGTCAGAATTTAGACGTTCACGTAACCATTAATGTGTTTTGAATTAGGTAAAAGTTAAATGGAACGAAAATATGGAACTAACACTATTTTGCTGTGATGTGTTTTGAGAGAAATATGACACATAGATATCAAGAACCTAAATTCGCTTGAAATTATCATCATTTGCAATTGTATACAAGAAACAAAGTTGTGAGGTTTCTAGGAAATTCTTAAGTATATATTAGTCTCTATATATTTAAATATATCAAGTTATGATTTAACATCGTTAAATGATTATGTAACACCAGTTAACGGTTGTTAGATTACGTACGGGTTTCCATCCACAAATAATTTAAATAATGTGTTTAGACCAATAATATTTAAATGAGGTATTTTATTCCAACCAAAAATATTAGGTATTAAACATCCAAATTAAAAATATTTGGGGTATTTTTTTTTTTTTTGAAATTTCCCCTTTAAAATTAAATTACTAACTAAATTAGAGGAACTTTATTCATCTAGCAAATAATCATTTTTGGTGTTTAATAAAAAGTCATTTCTATTGAGTTTGTCGTTCTATTGGTTCTACGATTTCATAGATATATAGAGACTAATACAATGCAAGTAATTGTTTGTAATCAATTGAATCATATTTTAAAATATCACTAACAAGATAATATCAATAGCCAATAGGAACGGCTTATGTTATGTCAGAATTTAAAAGCTCTAGGGTAACAACAACATCCCCTTTTAGTTTAAAAGCTTTTACAATACCATTTTTCAAATATATCCCCTATCAACAATATTTCAGAAAATATTTATTTTCAAAAATGCTCTTAAAGTTTTAGGTGGCGCATATGGTGGCAGACCTCCGAATAATTTTTTTTTCGTGTTCTCCTTGATAAATAATCAGAAAGATTTAAGGTACAATAAACTAAGCTGAAAGAAAATGAAGAAATCTCCGCACCCTAAAACCCAAAAGAGAGAAATATAATCCCAAAAAAAATAAAAAAATCTTTGGAAGGTAACGCCCAAAAGAAGGAAACAAGGAAAACAAAGAAATTGGAGCAAAATAAAAAAATTAAAGGTAAAGATAATGGATCAAAGCATTAAAATTGATATACTGGAACGAACATCATAACTCAAACTTTTGTATAGAATTCGGTAAAGCCAAAGCTGCAACAAAAGAAAAAAGACGGAGAGCCAAGAACTAGGAAGCTTCTGGGAGGCGAGGCAACCCGAACGACGGTAGAACTCAAACTCGTAGCTAGAACAACAAAGGAAGAAACAAACGTGTGACAACAACGCAAACATAACCCGAAACAACTCCACAACGACCACCCCGAGAAATCAAAACACTAGAGATGACAAGGGTTCAAGGATAAACCTTGAGAGAACGACTGAATATTTTCCAAATAGGATCAACAAGTCTTACCCGCGGACACTCGTAGACCTGATCTTGACCACCTACAAACAAGAGATGGGTTAAGTCCTTCCAAGAGAAGACCTGAAAATCAAACACGCTGCTTTGCCTTGGAGCCAAAACCACATATCAGAAAAACGCAGATAATGACTAGTAGAGGGCGGCTCAGTGAAGAATTCTCATCCGAATGAACAAAACCACAAATCGAAACTTTGTCACACACTATGCACCAAAAACTCAAGAGAACAAAACAAAGCAGAATCACTAACATCCAACAAAAATTGATGAGCAAACTTGTCAAAAGTGACCAAAAATACTTTCACGAACTGGATCTAAAACTGCTCTGAAGATCCGAAGAAACCCAAAAAAAAATGATGAGCAAGGCAAATCAACCACCACTTCTTGGCTGAAACCAAGCCACCATCGACCTTAACAATGTTCTAATGTTGTCTTATTCACAAAGGGAATAAGAAAAATATGATCGGAGAAAATCCAACAACCTCGGGTGGTACACAACAAACGCAAACAAAATCAAAGCATGAGCATAGAGGAGGCATAGCTCCGGGGTTGTGGGTTCCACCAGAGCCAGCAGACGCACAATTCGAGCATCTCCATTGGAAGGTTCTTTAGTGGGTTTCTTACAGTTAAAAAACAAAAAAAAAAAGAGATAGAGAGAGGGAGTTAGGAGGGATTCTCAAATGAGACACTTTGAGATAGTCATAAGAACCCCATGAGACCCTTGTCTTTCTTTGAAATTTTCTCTTTTTATATTACTCAAAAGCTATTATTTCTAAAAAGAGTTTTCGTGGAGTAGATGTAACGAAGTAAATAAAGAAAAAATATAGAGGACATCGTTCCCAGCAAAAAACCCTCGATTCTATCTCCTAAAAGTAGATCTATAGAAGCTTTGTTTTTTTCTGTTTCGTTTCAGATCTTCAACGTCAATGATGAGGCAAGCGGTTCAATCAGTTGGTGATGGTTATTTTTCTCCAACGGTGATGCGGTGTGGATGATCCGCCTTCGGATGCTAGTTTTAGCGAACTTCCCGACGATCTCGTGATTTCTCCTCATTGTACCACCACTGGTTAAGGATTCCGGAGGAGGGGACATGTAACGTCCGCGTCCCGCGATCCTAAAGGGGGCCGGTTTATTTTAGGGAAAACTAGATCATGGTCGAGAAAGACCAATGAATAAGTTAACCCAAGGAAGGAATGAAACGTTTAAGTCATGAAAGGGGTAGATGACTTAGACGGTTTCGCGATAATCTAGTGATCATGGAAAAATGATCATGGAAAGATTGAGAATGGCGTAGTCAAGGCCGAGAAAACGGACCGAAAGACTTAGCCGGAAAGAACGGACAAAAGAGTCCGAGTTAATCCAGCTAGGTGAGCTGGACAAGCTGGACGAACTAGCTAGCTCAGCTAGGTGAGCTAAACCAGCTGGAGGACTAGCTAGCTCAGCTAGGTGAGCTGACCGACATCTCAACCGAGCTCGGTGAACTGATCGAGTACTGACCCAGCTAGGTAGTCCGGTCAGCTAACACTCGAGCTGGTGGACTATGGTAGCTCGGGGATGAAGAGGTGTAAGGTCGAGCGGTTATCGACGAACGGTTACCGTTGGCCAAAGGATGGATAAGGCCGAGCGGTTACGATCGAAAAGATGCAACCCTTCGGAAGGGTGCAAAGAACGGATGTGCTTCTTCGGGAAGGCACCCATTCGGCCCTATATAAGGGGTGGACATCCAAAGGGCTTCACAATGATCCACACACACTTCACAATCAAAAACCCAATCCGAAAATAGTCCTAAACATGCCACGAAGTTGTTGGTCGGAAAGGGGGTGCGGCTCGGCAGGTATCTCCAGAATCGGAACGGATTCTCGGAGCCTCGACTGAACTGATGCGCATGCTACCTCCCGATCCAACGGTTCGATGGAATGTTTGGATGGTTTGATCGGAACGATTGTCGGAGAGACGGATCGGAACGGATGGATCGTTCGTCGGAGAGACGGGACGGATCGGGTAAGATGGTCGGGTCGACCA